ATTATGACAAGACTCTTTTTTTGGCAGTAGTTAGGATATAAATAATTAGTAAATAAATGATCACTTCTGACACCATAGCTCTAATGGCCAACAAACTCAACTTACATCAATGCTTTTTAAAAACTTGTCTCTGCAGCTATGGTTACTAACTGTCCTGGTGTGCTGGGACTAAGGGACTTCCAAGGACAAGTGACTTTCATTGCAAAATGCATGACAGTCCTGGGCATAATGGCATAGTTACCTATCTGAATCACTTCTATGTCTAATAGTTCACAAGCATGTTTTCACTGTCACTGCTTTGGGCTCTAGTCCCTGTTTGTAATTATGATTACCCCCTATAAACCCATGCATAGTTGATTATTGAATCATCTCGCTTTGTATGATAAACAATTTTGCTTCAACCAATGAGGAGCAATAATGCAAATAACCAGGTTCTAAGTCTCAGAAAATCCTCCTTACCATTGTTTCACATGGAATCTCATAGTTGGTCTTGACTTCCTGTGAGAGAGGGAGGTTTACCGAGACCTTGAGCTATGTATATTAGATATCACCTGGAATTAGGGAACTGGATTGTGTTCTTGCTGGGGTGTGCAAGCCTGGCTGCCCTCACGGTTTAGTCTCTTGTTGGTTGCCTTTTTGAAAGCTTTTCTTTTTTCTCTTAGGCCCTGGGGATTTATCCAGTTTTCTTTGGTAACCAAACATTAAATGATCATGATTCTGAGAAAAATAACATAAAAAACATTCCTTTCTCATGATTTCCCCTGCAGGGCTCCCCATGGACCTGATTCTTCTGTTACTATTGGATAAAATAAATAGGAGATCTCCTACTTTTGTGGTTATTCCAGATAATAAAAAGTTATCCAAAGTCACTATAGTTTCCAAAGAATTCTCTGTTCAGAAATTAATATGTCTGACATTGTAATAAAAAATCCAAATTGTATTCAAAATTAAACTTCTTCCTTCCTGTAGGGAAAAGTTGTATGCTTCGTGTTTCACTTTGGTCCTTACTAACTAACCCCATCCGTGTCTCACAACTATTATCTGAGATCTCAGACCCCACAATGCTTGGAATATAACAATGGAGAGGACATAAGGGAGCAGGAGAGATATCTAGGTACTAACAGAGTTTGGTGGCTAATGAAATTGAGAGGTGTCTCAAGACACTTTCCTGGGGTTTTCAGAGTCCCAATTGCATTAAATATCTCATCTGTAGGTACATGATTTAGTTGGTGTCTCTTCCATACTTACCATATTTTAACACTCCCTCCCTCATGCCCTAAGAATAGGTGATGGTCAAGATTCAGCCATTACCCCCCTACCCACCGGTCTTCTTGGAAATCCTCGGAAGAAAACCCATGTTAGCTCTCTCTCATGACAGCTCACATCTGCTACCAAGAACTATTACTTTAGATCCATGATATGTAGCAGTGCACTTTCCTTTCACATATTGCCTAATTTTTGTTTGACCACTTAGCAGGTAACTCTAGCCATAGGCTCTATTTTGAGATTTGTCAGGCCTGAGTCAGACACTAGCTGCTGTGTTTCCTAGGTTCCAAAGATACTTAGAAGCTTTTCTCAACAGGCTTGCAAAAAAAGAGAGATCACCCGCACCCCACCCAACCACCACCATGGAGTTGATGACACTCGTAGCACACCTTTTTCCAAAGAAGTTCCACTTGTAATCTCCAAATTCCCTGACCATTTCAACTCAACCCTTCCATATGTTCAATGTGAGTGTGTGGCTCCATATCACAAACGATGACTTAAGACATTATCTATACAGGGTCTGCCTAGTCCATCAGAACCTCACTTTGGAGTGAGTAGTTGGCACCTATTGTGGCCGTAACTATCACTGAAACTGATATAGTGCAATTTCCCATAACTGAACTTTTTTTCTTAGAATTTATCTTTCTTCATGACTTGCTGAATAATAAAATGCTTTGATGTATTTCCTTTAGCCTTCTTTCCCCAGAAGACAACATTTGCCCATGTGCCATTGATAGCTCCACGTTGGCATAGGTGATTGCAAGCTCTCTGAGTGCAAAACTCTACTTTTATTCCATTTTATTCCGTTTATAGCTGTGTATCACCTAACATGTTTAGAACTTCATCTAAATAGTTGATTTATTATCTCCACCCTGCAAGAATTTGATAATAATATTTTCTAAAAAATATTTACTTCTTAATTCTTAAGAAATATTATGACCAATTTCACAAAAATTGGTAAGATTGGACAGACACTAATTTGCCCAAATAGTAGGAAGGGAGTAAAAGCAAGTAATCTTATGTTTTCTTAAGTAAGGGTCTTATAAATTCAAGCATTAGCCACAATATTATGTTAAATGTTGCAGAATTGAAGTATAGCTTTAAGATTTAAAATGTGTGAAAAGTAAATATTTTGAGAGAAAAAAATAAAGCAGATTTAGAATAGCATGAACTTCACTTGATAAAAATTTAAATCATTCTCTTTGTAATATATGCAAGTCTTGAAAGGTAAAGACTCTTCAGTGTTATAATGAATATAAATCATTAGTAATGTAAATCACTAGGAATTTCTCTAATAAAATAATTTGATCTATATTATGATAGTCAGGAAAAAGCTTCATAAATAGGATGAATCCACAGATGCATAATTACTTTAGCTGTGTCCTTGCTTTCTGTAAAATACAGTATGAGGGAGGAAAACAAGCAAACAAACCCACATTTCCAAATGGGCAAGTCAAAGAAAGTCAATCCCAAGTAAGCTGACTAACATTTATAAAGTAATTCTCATCCTTATAAATTGCCTTCTTGCAGGAAACAGACCTTATCCTGACTTTTAATATATCAATGCACCGATCTTGGTGGATGGAGAATGGACCAGGATGTACGGTGACGTCAGTGACACCCGCCCCAGACTGGGCCCCAGAAGACCATCGCTACATCACGGTCTCAGGGTGTTTGCTGGAGTACCAGTACATAGAAGTGGCTCATAGTTCCCTCCAGATTGTCCTCGCAGTAAGTGTTGACAGCCAACCACTCCTTCTAGTGCCTCTGGGGTTGTTTTATTTCTGTGCAAACTGAGTGCACACAAATGGAATCTGTGGATAAAGGGTGGCCTTTTTGCTTTTTCCTCATTAATGCGACTTTTAACAGGAAATTGTCAGGTTAAACCAAAGCATCCCCTGGACTTAATGTGCTGATTTTCTTCAGCAATTAGTAAATACCTTTTGTTATCATCAGCATTTTACCTAGGAAATCCAATCAGTCAAGATATGATTACTTGACTTTTGGTAGACTTTTCCAGGGATTCTGAAAAGATGATCAGCGATTTTTTCATAACATTCTACAATACTCAAAATTACAAGATTTCAATAATTGTTTTCTCTTCTAGTGCTTCTTTTGGCTGTGCTGCTAGCCCTGGGATTTCTCTTTTCCATTTGCCCTATCTCCTTCTTCCTTCGTAGATTTCTCCCAGGCACCATCCATCACCTTTAATCTCCCACTTTTTTTCCAGAAAAAAATCACATTTTCTACAGGTTCTACTTCTAAGATATTCATGCCTCCATGTTTCATAGTACTGTGCCAATAAAAAACCATCCTTCTACCAGGAGGCAGTAGGACTTACAAATAACTTATGTGTACAACATATGCCTATTTTATATAAAATACATGATTTAACATTGTATTACTATGACAAAGAGATAAATTAAAACACCTCTTTCTCAAGAAGGCCAACTGCAAAATATCATGAGATTTATAAACCTAGGGCAATTTTATGACACATGAATCCATTTATTCATTACAGATCTTAAATGTAGAACTGCATATATTTTTCTTAGATTCATGCGGATGTGCAGTTGATGTGCATAGTATTAAAATTGTTAGCAACAAATGATGCAAGTAGAATCTGCTTTTTACCTCTTTAGTGAATTATTTTGGAAATGATATTGACTCACAGTTCTTGGATAACAATGAATAATAGTTTCTGGGTAGAGTGGCATACAATTCAGAGAAACCAAATTCTTCTGGCATTAAAAAACTATGTGAGTGTGTGGGTGTTAGATGATATAACTAATATATCCTTGTTATATTTTTAATGGAGTGTGTGTGTGTGTGCGTTGTGATAGACTAAGGAAGCTAAGTATGCTATGTTAGTAAACACTTCCAAATTCTCTGTAAATAAAAGCCATAAAGATTTCTTCTTGTGTGTCAGCAGGAGGCTCCATGGATCACTGTCACTAAGGAAACAAGGCTAGTTGAGTAGCCAATATCTCCATCATCATGTGTTGCCGTGCCGTGCCAGAGAGCAATAATAGCTGCGGAGGGTCTACATAGGCAGACACATGCTTCTGCTTGGAAGGAGAGGCTCATTGTTCACAGTTCATTGTGCAGAATTGGTCACACAGTCCCACCCAATCACAGAATGGACATGAAAGAGGAAGGGCTGTTTATTTGGAAATCAGGATAAATGACGTCCAGAACATTGGAATTATGTTCTTTGCTGAAGCACTAAGTAATAACCCTTGAATATGTTCAGTCATAGACACTCCTTCCAATTAACAAACTCTTCTGTAATAGTTTTAAATCTAAAAGTGCTTATTTTACTTATCCTGAAGTAGAAATAAGTTAGATTTGATAGGATGGAAGTAGCCATTTCATTCTTTAAAATCCATTTAAATCAAGTAACCATTATCACATGAGAAAAGTGAAATATATCTGTGATTTGGGGTCAGATAAAATATCTTTATATATGTGTTAAAAGGAGGTTTAAAACAAAATGTTCCTTCTGTAGAACTGCCTATCTTTACTGGACCCACAAAATTTGAGAAAACTTCCACCTATATTTTAAGGATGAAGTGAAGATACAGTTTATGTACATGGATATTTATGTATGACTATTTAGAGAGTTATTTGAATTAGTTTGTGTGTGTGTATGTGTGTGTAAACAAGATTCACAGATTTATTAAATGCCACATAAAATGCTGACACATAGGTAATGTGCTAAAAAAAATACATTTGGACATGGGGGCATATGTTGAAGTTGACATACATACCCAAAGAAAAAATAATTTTCCTTAAGTAAAAACCATCTGTAACAACAAGGTGGCTAGAGTGCAAAGAAGATGGATGAGTTATCCCTAAGAACAGATGTGACCAATATTTCATGCTACTGGCTCTTGTTTCTCCTGTCTGCATTCCCTCCAGTGGAGTGAAGGAATAGTTTGAGTAAACCACCCTAGGATGTGACATCTCTACCTCTACCCTTTCCACCTGTTCTTCTTTCCAGGGGTGCACTACTTTTGCAGTGTTGACTGTGAAACACCAGAGTTAGCAACTGCACAGCTAAGCCATTACTTGGAGAAGTTTCAACACATTTTCTACTTTTGAGCTTGCTATTGTCTAGCCAGCCTTGGGTTGAATGCATCTGCTATACAGAAAACTTAGCAAATTTGAACTTGAGTTTTATAACGCAAACGAAAAAGGGCTTATCTTTAACAACTTGCTCTGCAAACAACATTTCCTATCTTCATTCTGATCACTGATGTAATGATTAATTGATGAAATAGTGTCTTAAATCTCTGTCCCTTCCCTTTTCTGTTACCCAGATCATCTCCTTGACAATCAAATGTCCCATTAAATCAGTCTACTGTAAACTTCCTGAATGCTTGTCTCCTTCTGGCATCTAGAGAAGCAAAGGTGTCAGGACCTCTGACCTTGAGGATGTCGCAGTCAAATATACAGCAAAGTTCTCCAGAGTACAAACCAGGTGCAAACAGGCACATTTGGGGGATATGGTAGACAAAGAATATGGCTTATGCAGTTTAAGGCACAATCTTGGCTTCTTAGCTCCATGCAGTTTTGTAAAGTCAGCTGAACTCTTTCTCTTCTCACTGTTTTCATCCAAGTCTTTGAAACTGCCCTCTCTTCCAGGATATCTGACTTAGATCTGCTTTCATAAACTGCTGCTTTCTCAGCCACTGCTGTTGATTAACTCCAAATCTCTCCAGCTCTTTTTCTCCACCCTCAGTCAGCCTTTCTTTCACAGATTCCTGAACCCTGGCAAGCCTGTCACCCTGTTGTTCGGTTTTCTGCCAATCAACTCCTGGCTGATTTTGAAATTAGCATTCACAAAGCCCACATTTGCATCACACATACATAAGATATCTCCAATCTACAGCCAAAGGAAGACAAGTATAATATCCATATAATTGGGACGAGGGGCTATTAATCACACAGCTTCCAGCCATACAGAAAAGACTGCCAGAACACCATAATGATGAGCCAGGTGTGATATTTTGAGCTTTCTCCTTCTCCAGCCATATTTTCTTCTAGTTAGTATCAGATAGCACATTCAAAAGGAATACAGGTGTGCACAGTTTTAATAAAACCAAAAATAAAAAAATCCACATTTTCAAAATAGATAAAATAAATGTATGTAGGGAGAGCCAAGGAAGAGATCAACTGCGGAGATATTATTGTTCACGTTACAAAAAAATTAATCGGATTCCTTCAGACAATGTGTGATTGAAACGGTGTGGATTATAAAATATGTTCACATGAATTAAATCTTTTGATTGTGTAACAGTCCTCTGAGGGCAGCAGAATAGGTTGAAAGCTCTTCCTAAGATATTTTAGCTAATAAATAGGGACAATGAACATGCTCTCATACCAAGGTTGGGAAATAGCCTTCAACCTGAATGCCAGCAGCAGCTGATGGGTAATGGATTCCCGAAGTCTAAAAAGTCAGGGTTCTTCAGCAGCAAAGGATGCCATGATTGATTAGCTATGTCTGCCACGGGTGAGGGGAATGAAGAGGGATGTGTCTCACATTTATTATGCACATATTAAACTTTACTTCCTGTGATTGCCTGGGCGCGGTGGCTCGCGCCTGTAATCCCAGCACTTTGGGAGGCCGAGACCGGCAGATCACGAGGTCAGGAGATCGAGACCATCCTGGCTAGCACGGTGAAACCCCGTCTCTACTAAAAATATAAAAACTTAGCCGGAACATGGTGGCGGGCGCCTGTAGTCCCAGCTGCTCAGGAGGCTGAGGCAGAAGAATGGCGTGAACCCAGGAGGCGGAGCTTGCAGTGAGCGGAGATCGCGCCACAGCACTGCAGCCTGGGCGACAGAGCGAGATTCTGTCTCAAAAACAAAAAACAAAAAACAAAAAAATTCCTGTGATAAAAACAATGAAAAGGGAGTGTGTTTTACAAACAAATGTGCAGAAAGAATAATTTTTTAAAAACAATTTAAGAGGAAACATGTATTACAATAGCTGATCTAGCGATGTATGTTCAAATATGTCAATATTCCAAAAATTCATCTGAGTGGGGGCCTTAATATCTCTTTATCACATCTAGAGAATCAGTATTTCTAAATTTAATATGAACTTCAAGCAAATTGCTTGTTTTGGTGTTTCTTTATTTCCTCTACTTTATTTCCTTTACTTCTGACACACTTTAAGTTCATGGCAAGTTGACTATGATTTTTTTCTTTAGGCAACTGGCAGAAGGTATTGGTAAAAAACATATATGTATATTTATTTTATACACACACACACACACACACACACACGCTGTTTTCCCACAGCCATTAGTGTTGGCTTAGTAACAGTTAGAGCAGGGAAGCCATGGATGACGTTAGAAAACGTTTTAATACCTGTTGCCTGGTTCATAGCTAAATATAGTTTAAAGCCAAGTTCTCCTTCAGTTATATCTATTTCCTATTCAGAAAACTCTCTACTTTGTAGAGTTTATGAAATGGTAAAACTTACTTTTCAACCGATTGAGGAAAAAAATGTAGATAAAATATATACATTGAGGTCAATAAAGTCACAGATGTGTTTAGTTATGCTGTTAATAATTTATGTTTGCCACTTGGCTGCCTCAGACTTACTGAGGGATACCATTAGTGAAGAAATTTTCCAAACTTTGAAACTCTTTATCCAAGTGGACTTGAGGTTGTGTTGGGAATGGCACATGGGTGTTTCTTTGGATATAGCTGATGTGTAT